GCTCACTGAAGAGGAGCTGTCACAGATGGAGCTCCCAGGAAGGCTGAACCTGGACCAGAAGTACTTGTTTTACTGGCTGTATCCTTCACAGAGGCTGYTTCCCATCTACATGCAGAAATTCCCTTTATGTTGCTGCAGCCCAACATTTTGGTTTCTCGTCTACCTTCAGGGCACTCAGAGGGTTAGATGCTCACCTGCAGGGGAACAAGCAGCTAGGGATTATGCACCTTGAGCAGCTACCTCTGTGGCTTCATGCTTCTTCTCCATTCSCAAAGTCGGATGCTCGACAATACAAAACAGATCTAGTGCAGGATGGCCAGAAAACTAGCCTGAGTTTTGAGAGAAAAAAGAAATCAGCAGCAAAGGAAAACACAGCTCTCCAAGGTTTCAATGTACCAGGTCCCCATCATCTGCCTACATTTTGCCCACACACTGTTTAATCAGAGTGCCAGGGAGCCTGGCTCCCTGCCAGTGGGAATGCGGATTCTGACAATTTGTCTAAAGTGCAGTCAGAAATTGCAGCTAAAAGGAAAGAGCACTTCATTTTTTAATTCTACGTGTGTATGTATATGGGCTTTTTTTTTCCCCATGAAACAATTACAACCTCTAACTGCCGCCCACACTTCAGTTGCCTGAGAAACGCAGCGTGGGTACGGCTGTGTAACAGGACTCGGGTTTTACACCATTCCTGCTATCATTGGCTGGCTGCAAGGCCCCCACAAAACTGTCCCAGCAGCCAGACATGGAAAGCATTCGTGTCCCWGGCACAGACCGCTGCAAATTCCTGCCAAGGTGTGCATTGCTTGTGTCTTTATTASTCAGGTAATTACTCTGTAAATGGCATTGGGCCCATCCATCCCAGTCTCAGTACCTGTACTTACAACAGGATGCTCAGCACAGTCCAGCCCAGGATGGGATGGGATGGAACAGGAAGCAAAAGAGAATACACCAAGAGCTGGGTATCACTTCTGACTGGAGAAGAGCATTTTGCACACCCACCCTTACGGCAGCATCGCCGCCACCACCTTGATCAAAAACATTTCTTCTCAAAGGACAGGGCACATGTCTGTGCTGAAGACTGTACTTGCAAAAAGTGCAAAACAACACCTGTTTTGGTTTACCAGTCCTGATTGGAATTACCTGAAAAGAGGAAATGTACTTTTTTTACACTGGACATTTGGGCAGAGAGGAGAAGGCTGCCCAAGCTGACTAAAAATACTTACCTTCCAAAGAGCTGATGGAGCATATCTACACTGCACTTCTGAGTGAGGTACAGCAGAAAGATTATTTCTGGCTAAACAAAAAACATTTTCTTGGAGAGGAAGAAAGCAAACTATTCCCACCTACCCAAACCACTTATTTTGAACAATCTCAGTATAGCGACGACGGAAAGTGGGCTTCAGCTTGGTTTTGGGTTTGCTTTCTGTCCTTCCTGCAAAGACACACTCCATTCAGCAGACAGTACACAGCCCCAGGGATCCTGCTCTCTTCCAAGCTACCAGGTRCAGGAAGGAATATCTACCTTGGCTAACTCTGAGCAGTTTTCCCCAAAGGCCAGTGCACAGCATGCTGTTGTGACCCTATGGCAAGCCCTGGCAGTGTTAAAAATGCTTCTGCAAAAAATGGGGGATTAAGAACTTTTCACCAAAAGAGYTCTCTGATAAAGGGAGGGGCTAGGCAACCTTCACAAGAGGTTGTTCCTTGCCTATTAATGGATGGTCTTTTCCAAGTGATAACTGAACCTGTGTATTGTTCAGTTGTCTGCCATGCTTTTTCTTTACAGAAGTCTTGTTCAGTTTTTGTCTTGCCTCTGGCCTTCAAACAAACCTAGTTGCTCTCCCCTTGGAAAACCCTCCTTGCAATCCTGTTTTCTGCAGAGTTTTCAGTCTTCAATGCTTTACTCTGCTTTCTTCTGCAGACTTCTAGCCACATGTACATTCCCCCTGCATTTCAAGATAAAGGCCCCTCAGTACCTTTACACATGCAGGCAAGTAGTGTTAGCTGAGAAAACAGTGCTCGTGGACTATGAATCTCTTTCCCCGAGATTTCAACTCACAGACCTCACTTTCCCAGTATGTCCTTTTCACCATGTTTGCATTCTCAAGACTCATCCTATTTAACTTGCGGCCTGTGATCACTTGTATAATTCAAATATTTACAGACATTCCTGCAAACACCCTTGCAATGGTAAATGTGCTGTGGCTGAAGCAAGTTCAGACCAGGCAGGAAATGTTCTTTCCCCTAACATAACTATTATTTTGGAAAGCAACTCCCTCCGTTTAGATTGCAAGATTGAGATGTAACTGATACAACAAAATTACAGGCTTTAGTAATTAAGCAACATGCTACTAAAGAACTGGTCAATCTATCATGTAATCAATATACTGATTATCAAACAAACACACCACTACTGCTAATCTGCAATTATACTATTTTCCACCCTATTACACACAATTATAAAAGTGCTTATTTCACACACTCAAATCTTACAAATCCATTACCTTACCTCTTTCCATGACATATCGCCATAGTAGAAATGTACCCCTCTGAAGCTCACCCCCTCAAAGCAAGCTTTTCAGACACAGTACTGAAGGGAATTCCTGATGGAATCAGGCTACAAATCAGTGATGCATTTGTAGGCACTTGCACTCCTCCTTTCAGAAGCCTTCCCTTTCCTTTCCTCTTTATCTATTTTTTTGCCTTATTCATCACCGTTTCTATTTACTGGAACAAACGTTTTTGCCACTCTTGTGCCTCCCTTTCTCTGCTGAAGTTCCTCCCTGAGACATGACACATCCCTTGTTAATTTACCCTCACTGGCCAAATTCAGCAAAATCTGAACCAAACTCTGGACTTCCCAAGCTTGACATTGGGACAAACTTAAGTCTATTACTGAYACACCCTGCCTGGGTAGAGGGGATAAAATCATACCCACAAACTTCCAGTTCATAACAGAAACATATTACCTTCCACATTCTCCAAGTCAAAGAAGTCTACTTAGCCTTGATTCGCTCACCTGAATTCAGTTTAGCCCCTTCTCTTTGCATCTTATTGTGAARAGCAGACCAGCAAAACAAAAACTCTCATCATTTACGTACTGATCTATCAAAAAACTAACTCTGGAATGGGACCAGAAGAGATATCCTAAAATGACCGTGACCATGAGACAGCAAACCTGGCAAGGTAGCTGTTGTGCWGTAATTCATGTTTTCCAGGATGGCCCTTTTTCTGGGCAGTTAGCATAGTGGCTGATGTAATTTGAGAAACATCAGTTTAGTGGCAAACATGGAAAGAAACAGACCTGACAAATGAAAACCTGGGTTATCATCACATGATTCCTTTTCCAGCTCTACCTTAGAAGCTACTGGGTCCTTTTGGCATTATCTTGTAGATTAGGAGGCCACTGCAGTGCATCGGTGCTCTGATGGGTAAAAACTYCCTTCTCATTTCCAAACTAGAGGTACCCATGACAATATCTGACCAAACTGTGCACTAATTTGGGCTATGTCTCTTTCTTGTGTTACATTATTTATAAATAGCCAAAGAAATGTGTAGCTGCTGTAGAGTAGTGGTTTCTCCTGCATAYACAAACAAGTCCTTTCAGTCTTCCTTGATAATTATATTCTGTACTTAGATACTTGAACCGAAAATGGACAATGAAGAGACTATAAATGCATCTGTCTTTCACTTTGCACCTGTTCTGTCATTTTGTTCTAGCTCATTGCATTGTAAGTAACGTGACGTGACTAATGATTCCAGGCAGAAAAATCACCAGAAAATGCTCGGCATTGACTGTCAGCTAGGAAGAAAAAATAAGAAAAGATGGGGTGAGCAGTACTGACATTAACATTCAGACACAGTTCAAACATTAATTTGGGCTTACAGGAGGCATTTAATACATCTTGGTAAAATACTCCCACCCATCCTTACCACCACTTTGTTTAGCCTTTCCATTAAAGACATATTAATCCAGAAGCATGCATTAGAATCAAAAATCCCAAGTGCTTTGAAGCAACCAGGATAGAACAACAATGAAAAATCTGATATCCCAAGGCATAAYGTGAAAAAACAAACACAGAACTATCTCAAGTGTGAAAGTCTTAACATTCATCTAAAGGCAACATACTGAGGAAAAATGTAAAGAAACAATCACCTCTTTTTGTCAAACATTCACAAAAATCTTGGTAAGGAACAACATGTCTTCCTTACTATTATCTCCAAGTACAAGCTTCTAGCCCTGCTGTAAAGCTAGAGCATGCCCCACCTGTTTTGGACACATSCTCTCCATTTCCCCTGTGACTCACTCTCCCCATGGTGTACTAACTTACCATGCTGAGCCGTGTCCAACCCAAGAACCACAAGCACAAGGCAGTGTTGTGCAGACTCCTTCTCATTACTTTGGACAGCCACCGTTTCTTAACGGCTCCCACTTCATCTTTTTGCACTTCATCTTTTTCCTTTCTGACTCTTCTGTCTTTCATGGGTCTTTACTCCCCATCTACCACATCAGCAGCAATTCCCAACCTCTTCAGTGCCTTCAAACTATCTCGTATTAYACAAATTTTGAGATCAACTCCCAACCATTTCTGAACAGCTGTTTGCTGCAGCCTCTCTCTTTCAACCCACATGCCGGTTAACCCATTTTAAATCAGTTAATTCTCTTCTTGCTGTCTCTTCACAGCAAGCAGTGGTAGCTCTGCAGGCTGCACACCCTGAAACAGCTGGAAGAGATGCCAACTCTTGTACAGGTGCAGAAGGAAGAAAGATGCACTCCAGCTGCCCTCACACAGGACTAATGTGCARGCAATGCCACTGGCTCCATTGGTTACCCCAACTGCAGGTCAGATCTGGACTGTGTTTCTGTACGGCAGACAGCACATGTATGCTCCAGCTCAGGAAACCTTGAAACTACTGACTGCCAGAACACAGAAATAGGACAGCCAGCCACTGTAAAGCCACCTTCATGTTCTTAATTGTAGAAACAACAGAAAAGGTTCAAATAAAAACCATTCAGCTGCAGAACGTGAAATACATTTGGTTTATTTCTTTCTAAAGTTTGTACATATACATATATCATTATACATATGTGAGATCCTTCAATAGGGTTGCTTGAGTTCAATGACATAAAAATTATTGGGAAGCTTGCAGGCTCTTTGTTGCCCGTAAGCAACATTTATTCCAACTTATAAAAACACAGAAGAACAGAGTTATAGTCAGGAACATGGACACAAGAAGAGAAGTCTACTTTATATCTCACAGTTTCAATACATCAAAGGCAAATTATTTGTCTGTATACTGTAGGCTTACTTTATCAGCAATGATAAAATAGAGGAAAATATTTATATACAGTCACCTCAAGTGAAAAATAAAGCAATGTAAACTCAAATTCCAAAATATTATTTTAAATGATATAACAATATCCCCAAAAGTCCTTCTTCCAAGGGGAAGAGGACTGATTAAGTGCCTTCATTTATCAGGAAATGATCATTCTAGTACCAGATACATGAAGCAGAATAAGGGAGGGCATCCTGYGATACCTGTAGAAAAGACTGACAACTCTGCTTCAGGAAAGCATCTCCGTGTAAGCAAGTATATGTTTGAGTCCTTATGGACATCAGCAGCACATGGAAAAATCTCCCGTGAACCAGGGCTTGACTTAAATCTTCACAGCTCTGACTCCAACCACTCAGTATGCTTTCCTGGCCATGCATGTTCCCAGGGACAAAATGGGGTGTCCTGGTGGTAGGACACCCTCAAACCTGAGATGATGACCTCCCCAAGAGTCAGAACAGCAAGTTCCATGCTGCTGGAAAAGATTTAATGGCTACCTCTACGTTGTTGCTTCACAGCAGACCAAGAAGTTACCACAAAGCAGTAGACTGGGACTGTGTCTCTAGTCTGTTATGTGAAAGACACTCCAGCAATTCAGTGATGARAGTAAACTGAATCCAAGGTTACCAGAAAGAAGGTTCCTACACATCACAAAAGGGAAAGGAGACCACCCAGAAGAAAGGTCTTGCAAGAACTGCTGTCAAGCCCTGTTAGGTTGGCTCTGCACACAAGAAATGTATAATATACACACATGTGCAAAGTGTTTTTCTGCACTACCACTGCTGAGAGTTATGCTTCCCACATGGCTACCAAGCAACACTGACTGAAAATTCAGTCCTCTTTCTCAGCCTAAGGGAAACAACAAAGCAACAGAGGGAGGGTAAATGACACTTCTTAACTGYGACTCTGAAAATGACAGTGCTCACCCACATCTCCCCATCACTATGGGGGGCAGGAACCCAGGAAGAAACTCAGTACCCAAAGGATTAAGGACTACTGCAATGATGGGGATGTTCCCCTTCATTTCATTCAGAGCTGCAGTTCACTCATGTCTCAGTTCCACAAGACACAATCACTCTGACTGTGGTTCAGTGAAGTGCAAAGGCATAGTTTCACTGAAGTTGCTCAAGTGCTTCAAGCTAACTGCATGATAAAGAGTTTTATGACTCCAGGTAAGAATCACACCCTCAGGCTTTGCTCTTGCTTTCCAAGAATAAAGGAGATCGTGCTACTGTTGCCCTGACTAGAACACAAAATGAAAACCCACTGGGTTTCCCCATGCCTTTTTACTCAGACCAGCAACTTATGAAAAGGYTGTTTAAAGCTCCCAAGGAAAACCTCTGGGAGATATATGAGATGCCCAAGAGAGATATTTCAGCCCTGCTGCTCTTCTTTTCTCTGCTGATTAGCCACTCTTCTGGAAGTTTGTACTGTTGCAGAAGAAAAGGCCTCACTACTCCTGTACGGCTGTATCTGCAGGAGACATCACAGGCACCTGTCCTTCTTGGAYACTTTGGACATGATGTCCCTTTGCTGAATTTTCACAGAGCAAGGTCAACATTTTCAGAAGTAAAGCTGTGTATTAGATCCCCAGAGCAAAATTTTCAGAAGAAGTCAGCATTGATGCTCCTGGTATAGGCATCAGCTGATATAAACAGGGAAAATGTCAGCCCAGTGCTAAGCTARCAGAAAATCCAGCCCACTAACTCCTTCTTAGACTCTCAAATATATGCCTTGCTTTCAACATGCAGAACAACAGGCAGCCCCTGGTGGACAACACACGAAGATYAAGGCAGCTCAAAGGATACTTTAAATCTGCAAAAGCTCTGATAGCTGTTTAGCCTCATTTGAGAACAATTAGAACAACAAGCATACTAACAATGTTTGCAGCAGCTGAAGTGCTTTGACCAAAACAAGCCTCAGAAAAGAACAGCAGGCTTTGCAGTGCTGAGCCATAGAAGCCATACTATACCTATGAAATACACACACACATCTATAGGCATCACTTAAACATGTCCACCAAGTAATGTAAGCCTCAGAGTGTACCTCACACAAGAGTAGTGATTTTAAAGTTTTTAAACAGCCAAAAAACTCTGTCCTTTTAGCCAAATTATAATTCTAGACTCAAGTAAAAGGACAAAGTAGTCATGAATATGTACAAATTTTAAAAAAAACAACCACAACCCACCCCTGTTCTCATCCTACAGTCTTTCAGAATTTGACAGCTCTGAGCATGAGGTTTTCATAAGAGTGTGAGTTAAGACTTACGAGTTTGCCCTGTGCAGTGACACAGACTCAATATCATTGATCTCCCTTTTCCCAGCAAGAGGCTAAGGGGAGTTGGAGGATTTCACGTCAAACAAGTTTCCATGGTAGCTTAGCTAGCAGCTCTGTCACTACACCATGATACTCACTGGGCCTGAGCTAAAAGTGCACCTGTTTGGACAAAAATTACCTTGTTGTGTTGGTCTCATATAGGTGAGTTACAGACAGGACCATGTGTCTACTAATTACAGTGGTCCGTGTCAGAGAAAAATTCTGCCCTTGTAGCTTGCAGCACTTTAAATGCTTACACTGCTAAGTGATGTACCTTTATTGGTCCAAATAAACCTCTGCCCTGTATCCCCAGCTGGTTCTGGGCCAGATTTAAAAACAGATGCTATGGGAAGTCCTACATTGTTTAAAGGTTTATAATTTTTATGGAATAATTAAGTGTTCAAAGGTGGGGAAGAGAGAATGCTTTGGACCARCCTAAATGTGCTCCTTCTGACCACAAGGGCAAAGTCAGGTCAATGGTGCAGCCTTTGGGAAAGTTCTTGCTTGCATTCAGTAAGGGAAGGGCTGTAACAAGTAACTGAAACACAACCTCTATGAAGCTAACAAAATGTATGAGCAAGGGACATTCTCTCAGGCAGGGCTGAGCCTGCTTCYTTTCAATGTTCACCTTAATGTTGCCATAAGCAGAATAGATACTCCCAGATGGCATTCAGACACCTTTTCTGAGGACCTGTCCTCCTTGCTCTCACGCTCTCAGTTCCTCAAGCATCACAGACTAGGGGGAAAAGGAAGCCAGAGTTTCTAATCACCYGCAAAACCGAGGGCAGTGCTAGAGCAGTCTCCAGCAGGTGACCAGGCATGCAGGGTGGCACTAGCTTCTACCTATAGCATCACTGTCCTGTGCACTGGTTGCTCAGCTYAGGTGATATAATTTCTCTGAAGGCTGACAAAACCTCTTTTTCCTAGAGCTCAGGTGCCCACAGGGAAAGACCAGGTGAAGCAGCTCACAATGCCACACCTATGCTGCTGAGAGAGCTCTGGGAGACTGGAGAGGCCAGGCATACTCCTTCTACATGCACTAAAAATATAATTTAAAAAGCACAAGCTGCAGACTAGCTCWTTCTGAGACAGCTTCTATGGTTCATCCCTCTAGGCAGCCTGGATACCAGATGCCAGGAACACATGCTGAGGAGCGATGGTTGTGCTCTGGTGAGAAACGTCGACTTCTTAACTGCCCCCTCAGAGCAGATGTGAGGTCTCAGAGCCTGGGGAGAGCAACACTGCAGAAAATTTAAACAAGCAGCAAGCTGGAAGATTGCTTGATACAAGATGTCGATACCGACTTTGTCTCTGCAGAAGCAGCCACTGTTTCCAACATCCTGGATACTAGAAGAGTAGGAATGTTGCAAGTGCCTGGTCTGAGCGTGGGAGGGGGGAATTTGCAGCCCTGCAGCATATGACTAGAGGATCACAGCAGCCTGAAACTCGGTCTCACACCTCCCAGCTATAACTGTGGCTGGAAACACGGGCTACCAACAAGCAGAGTGAAAAAGCTGTTCACAAGGTTATCCATTCAATGCAGAACTGCTTCAGGTTTTCTCAATGCAAGATGGGAGAGTCAAATTTTCTGAATTTCTGCAAGCATGGAAGGAAACAGACCTGTTATACAGAAGCAGCTGAGGTGCTAAGATGACAGACAAGAGCAGCTTGACAGAAAAGGAGGAGGAGCTGTCAGACTAACTGCAATAAGACCAAAATTCATTTAGAAATGGAGAATGCAGACACAGTAAGCAATATGCCATCTGCAGAGAAAAACCTTTCCTGCTTTCAAGGAGAACGTTGCCATGCAATGCCTCTGAGAAGTCTGATGATAACCCTGTCATCTCTGACTTTCTGCACTGCCATAACCACCTCCGCATGGAATGGCCTGCTCTAATCAAGCAAGAACCTAATTTGGAGAAAGGCAAAAATTTTGCCTTTTTCAAGACAGAAGAGCAACCAGCCTTGTTACCCAAAGGCACTGGAGCTGTGGAAATTGACTGAACAAATCCAGTTTTTGGAGGTCTGCTACGCCAAACTCCTGCTCAAAGCAGGGTTGTACTGAGCAGTGCTCTCCAGGAGAGCCCCTTAACATGGACAGACTRCAACCTGGGAGTAGACAGGATCGAGGAAAAGAATTTTAGTGATGAGCTGTTACTAAACATTAGTAAGTTTCTGGTAACCATTTTCAAAAGAATAGATGGAAAACTGTCTGAGCTGGCAACAGAGCTGAACAGCGCTCCCGCACAACTCTGCTGCATTAATCACTCTGCTGGCTGACTTATCTCTCTACATCAATTAAAGACACAACATAAATACTGGATTTAGAAGCTGTAGTCATGATCACTGGTTCATGCGTAATTTATCTGCAAGATGCACACAAACACACAGGCAGTCCAGGGAGTCTCTTTTGCAGCCGCAGATGAACAAAAACCATCCTGCTGACTCACAGAGGAGAGAGTGGTTTTAGCTTCAGGAGAGTATCTCACTTACTTCGGTTGCTTAGTGGAAGCGGGAAAGGCAATTTTCCCCTTCTCCACCACCTCCCTGCTGTCAGGTACAGACTAGTGAGGCCCTTTCCTGTCTCTCCTTCCATAGTTGGGGATAGCAGATGGCTCAGCCCTGCAGGGTGAGCAAGCCAGCAATGCTTCAGAGCAGGGTGGGTCCCTCCAGAACACTGTCTGTACCTTAAGGAAGGGGAAGCAAGGAAGTGTTGGCCCCAGTCCTGCTCCCCTCTCAACATGTGGGCAGAGACTCAGCTTCAGCAGTTATAGCACTCTGGAGCAGGGAGGGTGACAAGGAAGGATGACAGCTCCCTGCTTCACCAAATGCAAAGGCTCTCTCACATGCACACATGCTTGTGGCGGCCAGCCAGTAACTCCTGCTCGCACTGAGAACACCCAGAAAGCTGCAGGCTGCTCCAGTAATTTGCAGCTCAGGTCCCAGAGGAGAGCTGTAAATCAGCAGAATATCCTTACATATTACTACCAGAGCTCCTCAGTTGCTGYGGTCAAGCACTGATGTCTCCTAAAGGAAAACATTTCAGTGAAGATGGGAAGGGTGCAGGGCACCATGCAAAGCTACCTGGCCAGACCCTTAATGATGCCMCTCAAGGAGATGTTCCACTTTGACCTACTGCAAACCTGCCACACCCTCCAGTACCATCAGGAGGAAAAAAAAAACCAAATTGTGGTGCTGACTGATAGATGATCCTATTCCCAAGGGAGGGCAGGAGTCTTAGACTTTCACAAGATCACTTTTTTCCCTTGGTCTCCAAAGCATGCATTTCTACATGAGTGCCTGAGATGCTTATAAATTGTAAAGCAACAGAGCAAAATGGCATTAATTAAAACTGGAGCAGAATCTATAAATTCTGAGTACACTAATCTGCATGCCTCAGCAGTCTCAGTAAGAGTGCTCCAAGCTCAATAAAACATTTAATGACTAAAAAATGTAGTAAAAAACTGCATTTTATAAGCCCAGATGAGACTTAAAAAACATACCCTAATCCATTTACAAGTCTACACGGAAATAGATAATAAATAATGAAAAAAATCTTTTTTGCAGTTCACTTTTCGAGTTTTCCTATTGCTTCAAATCATCTTTTCTGCAATGACTTTGAAGAGGAATTACCCAGTTTCTGTGTCAAAGCTGGAAAATGCATTTAACAAGAGTAATTTTTTTTTGAGCTTAGCAATTTAACTGGAATCTACAGCAACCAAAATACTTTAAAAGCCAGGGAAAAAAGAAGTTAAATGTCATCTTTTTGCCTTTTAAAGCACTGCACTCCATTATCACAAGAGGTTTGCTAAGCATGCTCTAGTCTGCCTTCAAAAAAATCTTATAGTCATCCCAATCCTGACAGTCAAGCAGAGCCATTTACAGATCTGCACCTTTTTTGTTTTTTTTATTTCTGCTGCATGTATCCTCCTGTTATATAAGACAGTGTACTGGTTCTGGCCAGGACAGGGTTAATTTTTGCAGTAGCCAGATGGGGGCACGGCTTGTATCTGAAGGTTGTTCTATACCACCTCATGTCATTTTCCAGGAACTCCCACCCGAGCTGGGGTATCAGGAAATGAGTGGCTGGCTATTGTTGGGCTCTGCGTGGTAAGTATTCTTGTACACTCTTATTAATACTGTTGTTGTTACTGTACATTTTCTTATCTCTTTGCTGCTCCCAGTAATTTGGTCTTATCTCAACCTGTGATCTTCACCTTTTGTGCCTCCAGGTCTCCTCTCCAGTCCACTGCAAGGATGGGGAGTGGGTAGAGAGAGCAAGCAAGCAGCCTGTAGTTTGGAGAGTCTCAGTGGGAACTCAAAATTGGGGAATACCATTTTTTAATCATAACAGGTCAAGTTTTCTTTCCAAGTGTGTGTCTGGCTTTCCCCAATTGAATTTCTTCTTTCAGTTATGCTTGTTCATTTTCAACCTCCAGAGCATGAGGAACAGCTGCAGGGATCTATCTTTGTTTCCAGTCCATGAGGGGAGCTGTTGATATACCACTCTGAATTACTCCAAACAGTCCCTCCCAATGAAGATTATCATGTATCTCTCTGAGTCTCCCCAAACAAGCTGCACCGTATCACCTTGGCTCCAGAARCAAAGGCATCTCTCCTCTTGAGGAAGAGAACTAAATGCTAACTCCACCTTAGCAGGAATGCACAACTTCTAAAGCCCCAGCACTTGGGAAGCACTGCCAATCTCTATTCAGGCCTCTGCAGCTTTTAGCAATATTGCCACAGTTAGGAGCCAACCTCCTGACTTCTAGTACAGAGTGGCCACTCTTAGTGGCAGATGCCAGATGGATGTGCATCCAACATCACTGGTGAAAACAGACTCATCTGGTTTTGCTGCCAGGCAGCAGCTGCAAGCATCAATTTGCCCCARAATCTCACATTTGAGAGTGCAACATCTTTGTTACAGTCAACAGCCAGCACAACACCAGGAAAGCTGTTGCACGGTGGTATCTGGTGGGGGAGGCAAGCTATGCAATGCCTCCTCTTAGRGACCTTTTCTCTTTGACCACTGCCAGTTCTGCCCACTGCACTGGCAGCTCAATAAGCTAGATGAATTGACTTGGACCCTTGGGAAGTCTGGCAGAGCACACATCCACTCAGGTGGCAATTTTTTGATATGTGGCCTTTTGACTGCTTGGGCTGAAAACACCASTGCATTTCTAAACAGTCCTTGCATTGATCTTGACAGTTCTATATTCATTAAGAATTGCATTCATCATGAAATCTGTCCTGTGCCAAGCAGAAAGAACAGCAAGAAACTATTTTCAGCTGGCCCTCAACTTTACCTCCCAAGGTGCTCTGTGGRAAAGACCAGTTTGGTTGTACTACTCCATATAGGAAAAGCATGACACGAAATGAGAGAGACCTGTCCAAGTCCACCCTGTGGGTCAGTATCAAACCTGGGATTAAAACTCAGGTAACAGGTTAGGTAAGGGGAGAGCCAGCACTCTCTGCAGAGCGATGACACTGCCCAGGTAACAGGGGCAGGGAAGCAGGAAAATTATATCTACATCATCTTTTTGTTCTCTTGTGCCTGAAAACTGCTGGTCACCCCAAGAGTCTATGGCACAATCAGGTATGAAAAGTTCTACCCATGGTAGACAGGTCTCTCTCTCCCTGTCMTGTGCTTCCCTTGGAAAGCCTGGCACAGGGTATGCAGAAACTGTGAGGAGGCACCAGCCTCTTCCATCTATATGTGAGCAAAAGGAGGAAAATGGAGAACTGAGGAGAATCCCTTTCTGAAGAAAACAGGCAAAGTGCTTTGTCACTATGAGAGGAATTGAAAGCGGCTCTCTGTRCACACCAACAAGGAAACCCCTGGAAGGGGAAGCAACAGGACACAATATATCATAAGGCTCTATATAGCAGCTAAGTGAGAGCGTATAGTTAWAAACTACACAGAGGCCCTTTGTCTTTAATATATATAATTAATATATGATGCTAATGGCTGACATCTACAGCAGCCTTCTCTGCAAATAAATGTGAAGCCCAGATAGCCATTCCAACTGGGTAATCCCTAACTTTCTGACTGCAGAAGACAGTCGTGGGTTTGGATGCCTTCCAGCCTGCAAACTCAGAAGGCTCTCTGCCTGGAAGGAAGCAAACAGATTATTCCAATGCTGTCATCCCAGCATTGCCAGAGGTTTCCAGGTTTCATTCCTTCGCACTAGCGTGCCCAGGGTCAATGCATTAACAATATGCAACAGTGACTATTTACTGTATCACCTGCTGCTAAGTACCAGTACCAACACACCCCACATTCTCAGGAAACTAATGTTCCCAGCACCCTAGCCTCTAGTCAGCCTTCTGCAGCTGCATGTTTGCACAGCTTTTCTCACAGCTACAGCTCACATTCACAGCACTGCAGCACTTGTCCAGTTATTTTTCCCACCCACCACGTAAATAAAGTGACAAGTGACTTGAGAGATGAAAGCCACATGCCGATGGGAGGAGATAAATGGGGAAGAGACAGAATAAACGTCACAGCGCTCTACCCCTCCCCCAGCTCCTTTAGAAACAGAACAACACAAAAAAGTCCCGATGCTTCAATTGCTAAATGATAAATTAACAAAGCAAAGCAAAGCAGGAGCAAAGACATCTCCCACAATCTGCACAGAAACAGCAAAATATACAATAGAAAATGTCACTAACACCCCATTCAGGCAGATGCACTTATTTTTTGTGAATGACAGGTTATTAAATGAAAAAATTTTGACCACCGGTACTTTGCTGCATGGCTGTTCCCCTAGTTGTCGTTTCCATCCTAAGTGACCTTCTGCTTAATGCTGGGTGTTTCTGGCCTGTAGTCCTTCCTCTCCGAGACATTGCGTTTCACCTTGGCACTAACTGGAGACTCCTGATTCAAAGAAGGGCTCGAGTGGGATTTCTTCAGTCCTGGTGCATCGTTCTCCCCTCCGCTCAGTAGCTCCTTCACCCCTTCTTTCAGTAGGCCAACATAAATCTCATAGCGATTTTTCTGGAAAATGAAAAGAAAGGCACTTATCAGTGTGGAAGAATTTCTGCGGGGGCATTTGAGAGACCACCTAAGTAGCTTAATGCTTTCTGCTGGCCTGAAAAYCAGGAGCCCAATATGTATGTGAACAATGCTGCCTAATGTGGATATGAACAATAGTGGCTAATGTAAATTAAACAAAGAGGATTTCAGGCAGACTGAGGCCTGGGGTGCTGTGTAATTAGAGGCACTCAGCTCTGCAGCACACAAATTCCAATRCTCTGCTGGGCAGTGGCTCCCATTCCAAGTAACACCACCAAATGAAAGCTTGCTACCTGAGTCATGCTGAGACCTGACTGCTCACACATACTGAGATGCTACATGCTCAGGCAGGTATGGAGATAAAGTGCACTAAAATAAAGAACAATAAAAATCCTGCTCTGGCTGCTTACAGCTCTCCTGTGCAACCCTCCTCTCCCACCAACGGGTCTTGCTTCTCCTGATTTTCTTATCCAGGGGAGATACCAAAGCAGGGTCTAAGTTCAGCCTGTACCAGCAGGGCCATCACCAGGCCCCTGAGAGAATCTTCTACAAGGCCAGACCTTAACAAAAAGGAACAAATGAGAAGGCTATAACAGCAGCACGACATGTACCCCTGCTAGGTCACTCACAGCAAATGATGAAGGACGCTGTCTGTCCAGACACTTGCATTTTTCAACTGGGAAAAGTTCCTTTTACTGTGTCCCATGCCCATTTGTTCTATTTCTTKTCTGGACCAGACTTTTCCCTGTCCAACAGGAAGATTTCGCTCTGTTTGCCACAATTGCATTGGTCTCCAAGAAACAACTCAGCAAGGGAATAAAAATAGGGTACTGTAACAGAAGATCCCTGCAGTGTCTCAAAAACAGATGTTGGGGCAGGAGGTCCTGAGAACAGAGCTATCTGCTTCACAGGATTTGTTTAATAACCTGCCCTGATATATCCACTGAAGACACGGTGCAGGCACTGTTATTTACAGCAATCTCAATGTGCTGGAGGTCAGGAAAGGTGGATGTAAACAYCCATACTGATTGTTAATTTATATTTTGAAGTGGCAAAACAGTAGCCAAACTATTACGTTCTGAGAAAAAAAGTATTTAAAAATATTTTTTTCAATTTTCTAACAAAATTTTAAAGTTCTGGTAAAAACACTTATTTGAGGGAAGGAAATCAAAAAGCTTGGTAACTGCTTTGGAGTGTGGTATATAAGGTGGGGGGAAGAAGATAATGTGACTGGCTTTTGAGAGTCCTTTGAATACATAAAACCTCACATAGCAGAATCATAACAGAATTCAYCTACAAATAAAATAAATAAGCATTCCTATCATTTTTATATCTGGAACTGCAGCTCCACAATGTGAGAGAGAAACACATGAAGAAGGTAAGATGTGTCATTTAATAGAAATGGAAATAGAGAAACAGCAAGAAGAACTCTGATGATGATGCATTGAGCTGATGGATGATTCATCACAACATGAAGCAGACACTTCTGCAAAAGTGCAGAAGTGCCAGTGCTCTAAGCTTGGGAACAGCGTAATATCATCAAACRGGAGAGGAACTTTACTGCCATATGGAATTCTGCTTTTTACTGATCCAGTAAACACCACCAGAGTCTCAAGACTGAGAAATCAGTCAGAAATCAATCAGAACAGAAATTCAGGACCTACACACGTGCAACTCGCCATTTTTCCCTAGACTTTGTGGGTCCTTGATTTCCATGATAATTAATCAATGCATTTGTACTTTGATTTCAACCAAAAAAAAAACTTGGTCTTTCGGTGACCTGACATTTGAAGTTAGGTGAAAGCTGCTGCCAATTTTGCCTTAAAAGAAAAAGAATTGTAGAATTCTGTCAAGAAATAAAACCACAGAAGCTGAAACCATTTGAAAGCCTMTGCAACATTATCTCTGACAGAGGAATGTACATAATAAAGAAGAATGAGGCAGCCACTCATCAGTATTCTGGTTTCACTTCTCACCTGACAGCATGCAAAAGATCTTTCTCTAACTATAAGTTTTCTGCACTGAGCAAAAAATTCTTTGCAATCTGATGCAGTACTTCCTCAGAGAGCCAGCAATGAGAATTTCTCCTTCCCTGGTGTGTATAAACAAAGATACCATCAAAAAGAAATGCAACTGGCAGAATCCCTGAACAAAGACCAGTCACATCCTGGTTCACCTCCCCTCCATCTCACTTGTCTTTCATCAGGAACAAGAATGAAGGAATCGTCAGTGTGTGAACAAAAAGGAATTGTGAGCATCTACAAAAAAAGAAAATGGCTTCTTCCTTCCTAATGGCACTATGCTGCTACCTTAGGGACTCGCACGCCCTTTAGGCGTGTTTCTTAAGATGTACCAGCATGGCCTTTTGTACACAGACACCAGGTCAGGCACGCAGTCTCGGTCTGAAAGAGACAATTACAATATCCTACCTCACCAACCTCTTGCCTTTTTCATTTAACCCCATACAGCAAGCTCTCTCAACACCTCCTGCTGACCCTGACAGGACACTGTTCTGAAGGGAACGTCAGGAAACCCTTAAAATAGTATGAAGCTTCCATTCATAATTTTCATACAGCTCAACACTTAGATTTTATTTGGTTTTCTTCACAGCCTCAGATAATAGAAAAAAACTGAGTTGGAAGGATCATCCAGTCCAATTCCTGGCCCTGCACAAGACTATCTCCAAGAYTCACACCCTGTGCCTGAGAGMATTGTCCAAATGCTTCTTTAACTCTGTCAGGCTTGGTGCTGTGACCACTTCTCTGGGGAGCTGTTCCAGTGCCCAACCAYCCTCTGGGTAAGAAACTTTYTTCTAATACCCAATCTAAACCACCCTGACACAACTTCACGTGCTCCTTCATGTCCTGTCACTGAGTACCAGAGAAAAGAGATCAGTGCCTGCCCCTCCTCACCCCCTTCTGAGGAAGCTGTAATTGCACTGAGGTCTCTCCCTCTGTCTCCTCCAGGCCGAACTCACTAAGGGACCACAAGCTCCTCATACAGCTTYCCCTTAAGGGACTTCACTTCCCTCCTTTGGAGGCTTTGGCGCTTTGTATCTTTCTTGTACTGAGGRGTCCAGAACTGCCCCCAGCACTCACACTGGGGCTGCCCCAGTGCAAAGCAGAGTGGGACGATCCCCTCTCTTGTCCGGCTCGTGATGCTGTCCCTGATGCCCCCAGGACACAGGTGGCCCTCCTGGCTGCCAGGGCACTGCTGGCTCATGTTCAACTTGCCACTGACCAGGACTCCCAGGTCCTTTCCACAGCACTGCACTCCACTACCTCATTCCCAGGCTGTCCATACAGCCAGGGTTGCCCCATCCCAGACACAGAATCCAGCACTTTTCCTTGTCAAGCCTCATATGGCTGGTGATTGCCCAGCCCTGTAATTTGTCAAGGTCTCTCTGAAGAGCCTCCCTGCCTTCAAAGGAGTCCATAGCCTCTCCCAGTTCTGTATCATTTCAAACTTGCTCAGTATCCCTTCCAGTTCTCTACCCAAGTCACTTATGAAGATGTTGAAGAGCATAGGGCTGAGGATGGAGCCCTGTGGAACCCCACCAGTGACATGTCTCCATTCTGATATCACCCCATTTGCTGTAATCCTTTGAGGCCAACCCATGAGTAAGCTGCTCACCCATCACATGATGTGTTTATCCAGCTGAGCACTGGACATTTTCTCCAGAAGGATCCTGAGACAGACAGTATTGAAAGCTTTATGAATCAAAGAAGATTACATTAACTGGCTTTCCTTGATCAACTAAGTAGATTACCCTGTCATTAAAGGAAATCAGGTTGGATGAGCAGGWCTTTSCTCTCATGAAGCTGTGCTCGCTGTGATGATGGCTACAGTGTCCTTCAGGTATTTTTCAATATCTCCCAGAATAATTTTCTCTGTAATTTTACCAGTCACCAAAGTTAGACTGACAAATCTGTTGTTTCCAGTACCATCCTTTGTGCTCTTCTTGAAAATTGGTGAAACACTAGGCAGTTACCAGTCAATTGGGATCTCTCCAGAGTGTTCAAATATCACTGAGAGAAGGTTTGCAATGACATCAGCCAGCTCTTTGAGGTTTCTCGGATGGATCTCCTCAGGCCCCACAGATTTGTTGGSATCCAGCTGAAGCAGCAGATCCCACACAACATCAAGGTTAACTGGGAGCTGATCACTCTCAGTCATGGTCCTCAGCTCAGGACAATGAGATCCCCCTGGTCTGTCACCCGTGTTGAAGACAGAGGTAAAGACTGCATTAAGCACCTTGGCTCTGGCCCTGTCCATGTTTGTGAGACGGCAATACTCCACGTGTAATGTGCTGATGTTGTTTTTACACTGCCTTGTGCCATTACTATATTTTTTTAACTCTTTTTATTGTCTCTCATAGTTCTAGCCAGCTTCAACTCCAATTGAGATCTGTCCACATGAATTTTCTTGCTACACTGGTGAGCAGTATCTTTCTCCATATCACCTGACCTTGCTTCCATCYATCACATACCTTCCTATTTGGCCTCAGCTCCAGAAAGACATCCCAGTTAGCCTTCTGCCTCATCTGTTTGACTTTCAACATTTTGGAATKGCCTGCTCGCACATCCTTGAAATGGTGTCTTGATAGTTCAATATGGTCTGTGAAATTTCTGCCAAGTGTGAAAGTAACACAGCACTGCGCACCAGCACCTTGAATCACCATTTCTCTCACGTAACTGAAGTTCTTGCCACAACTTGCCTGCTTAGATGAGCATTTCTGCAGTGTTGACCACTTATCTGAACTGCGCATCTCAAATGCTGTTTGAGACTCTGACTAGTGAAGATGACACCTTTTGTTTCCTGGGCTATACTGGGTCTCTCCTGATTACTGGGTTTGTCCTGAGATACCTGAGGAATATCACCATGATAAAACTGCAAACAGAATAAAACAGAAAACAGAAAAAAAATCCCACAACAATCTACTCCTCCATCAGTCTTTCCAAAAACATCTAACACTCCAGCCTACATTTCATCCCAACTCACCAAGCTTCTAGAAGTGATAGAAAATAAGCTTTGTGTCAAGGACTCAAAGCTAAGAAACTCCATGATCTTCCAAGTTGTCCAAGACCCGCTTCAGAGAGAAAGTACATGGCTTGCTCTGTGCATGATTGCTCTGTTCAAAACTGATACTGTGTCTTGATCACAACCCTTTGAACTCGATTATTCAGTCAAACCACCTCACTGTCAATTGCCTAATCCATTTCACCAGTTTGTCTACAAGGATGTTAGAGGAAACTATGTCAGAATTCTTGCCAAAGTGAAGAATAAACAACATCTACTGCTCTCCCCGCATCAATCACACCAAACATCTCATCKTGTAAGACTATCATGTTGGGTCAGGTTATGATTTCTCCTTCATAAAGCTATGCTGATTAACTTTGCTACAGCAAAGTGAAACTCAACACCTAAGTGGTTACAATTTTCTGAAAAAGCAAAACTTACAATGAGTCAAATCCAGGTGTAAAAAGAGTCTCTCTATAACAGAAACTGAGAGCATGGGGCAGAAGGCTTACTTCAGTTCTGGAATCTTATGCTGAGTTGCCTCCAGCATCAGCTCTGGTGGTCTCACTTTGAGAGACTTTTGTGTTATCTGCTGTTCATTTTTTTCAGACTATGTATTTTTCTTGYTTATTTAGGGAGTGCCTATTTAGAGAATGATCCTTTCAGACCCAAGACGACACTGACTCGCAGTCCTGGAGGGAAAAGCTCAAAGGTGTAGTCRTGACAAATAGCAGACATCTGCCAGGTTGCCATTCAATTCCCACATAGTCCTACAATGTGGCAGACACCATTTTGGATAAAAGCTGCTGTCAGATACGCAGAACAATGTCCTAATGCATCTGCCTAAGTTGCATCACTCAGTCCTGTGATCTTTAATTCTATTCTTTTCCTTCTTATCCCGACATCCTTCTCATCGGTACACAACACAAATGCCTATGACAATAATTTTAGTGCATAAGTTCCTTCAGAATCCACCAATGAAAGGTAATTACCACGATCTGCATTACTGCAGAATGCACTTATTCACTAAAGACTGAGGTTCCAACACACTAGGCAACAGTTTTAGAACCCAAAACACTTCGTGCATGAAGAACTTATAATTTCTTCAGATACATCAGGAAGGACAGAGGGTCTCATATCTATCCTCCATGTTACAGATGAGGAGCTAAATTCAGAGCTAAGGAAGGTCAGAAAGAAGAGCTGCATCCCAGCTTCCRTTGCGAGTTTTGTGCCTAGCTAGAACACACTCTTTAAGGAAGTCAAGTGAAAAATGCAGAACTCCAGGACTGTACCCCAAATATAAGACCATACACACCCAGAAAGATAAAAGTGATAATGTTTCCCATACATACCTCAAACTCCAGATAGTGGTCCTTCAGTTTGTAATCATCTACTTCCTTGCCTTTGAGCTTCTTGTCAGGAGGATAGGAGCGATGTTCAGCAAGCTCAGTGGAGATCTGCTTCAGCTTAGCTTCATGGGACTTCAGCTGTTCATCCTTCAGAAACACATTAGGCRTTTAAATGAAAGAATCTAAAATACCCAAGAGGCAAAAGAAAATAGAGAGGTTCCTGCACAATAATACCTTGTAGTTTCGTTTTCTTTGACAAGGTCTGTTATCCCAGAGCTCTGCCACCAACAGCTGTCTCAAAGGCACCCAAAGTGGCCAAGCTTGCAGAAAAACTCAGCAGCTAGCAGATGCCACTGGGAAGGAGGGCAAACCTGTCATCCCTTGCCTTGTTGTGAGCAACAGAAGCAGCTTGCTGCCGAGCATTACTGACAACATGACACTTTTGTCTTAATACATTTTTTGGTAAATTAATTAAGACTATTGTGTATGCAGACAAAGCAAAGRTAGAATGAGACAGGCCAAGACCCTGTGTCAAGTCTCTGCAATGTAAAAGGAGTCTTTTGCAGTACAGTCTATCCTATCTTCCAGGATGGAAAAGACATGGAGGTAGGGCCTGTCCTTTTATTTCTGCACYGCAAAAAGCTATTTAGTGTGTGGTTTCTATTTGTTTAGAACAATACTGTGCACTCAGAACAGGAAGAGCAGTCCAGTCCCAAAAGGTACCTCATTTTGTGAAGCTGCTACCAGCTTTTATCTCACTGTGGAGTTAGTGAAAGAGAGRAGCTGCTACTCCCACTTTCTAGGCAATTTCCTTTATCATAATCCCAGGCCCACTCACTTCCTCCAGTCCATCTGTTAGCTAACCTTCCCTCATCTCAGAAGGTTTTCATCTCCCGCAGGATGGCCTTCTGTCCATTTCTAGGCCTGGATCTCAAATTATGTTTGAATTAGGTAAGTCAAAAATAGAGACATGACCATGCAGATACCAGTGACTTAATCAGGAGGTAGTACCCAGGTCAGCTCCTGTGTAGGTATCTTGCCTTAGAGGAGGGAACAGCTGCCAGTGTTGTCCCTCAGTGGTGTGGCTCTAAGCACAGCCCACACCATCAAGACTAGCTCAGACATGCCTGCACTGCACTGAGTCACACCAGAGACTGAGYCGCTTGTCTTGCTGAGCTGGAGCTGCGGAGAGCAGCAGAAAGGGGGAAAACTTCTACAGATGATGATAGCTAAGCCCCAGCTAATCTTGTATTTCAACTCTTTTGCAGTAGAACTGAAGAAAGAAACATGTGATATAATTTGCCTCCGCCTAAACATGGTAGAGCTGAAACCACTAGCTACTGACTGCCAAAAATTCTTGTTGCTGTTAGTTACTACCCTAGATTTGCATGTTTTCTCATTAGTGACCAATCACTCTTTACACTGTGCTGATTCCCTGGTCCCAGGGACATCCTGTGGTAGTGAGCTCTACAGCCYGATGACAGGAGGTCTTTAAGCAGCTATTAATACAGCACTTGTCATTTCCAGGGCACCAGCTTTGGATCTTTTGCATGTGCTACACGTTCTCAGGAAAAAAGAAAAAATCCAACACCCTGGTACATCTTTTCTAGACTGGTTGTTCCTTTATATATAGCTTTGTCACATCCCTCTAAGGATGGACTAACCAAGATCAGACATTGCTCTGCTTTTGAAAGAAAACCTGGTACAATGATCTTGCACAATCTGTCATTATGTCCAGCCTCACTTCCTCACCCATGTTAGGTCCTCACTGCATCCCAACTTCTGGCTGAGCAGGAACTGACCCTTTAAAGAAGTACTGTCCATCATGATTCATCCCACAAAATCCTAAACAGGAACCACAGGGATTTGACAATTTGTATTTTTTTTTTTTGTCTGCCAAATGAGATACAGACTGCTGGCAGCTTTTCCACACTGACAGATGAAAGCAGACATCTTTCTGCTTGCCTTTGAATTTATCTACTTTGAACACTTAACATTCTTCTGCCTTTCTAAAATAGCTTATCTTATTCCACTTATCATGTCTCCCCTTCTTCAAGATACAAACCACAGGGCTCTGATCTTTTTCCTTTCCAGATTAAATGGAAACAATGACACTAGGAAACAATGTGCTAAATGGAACAATCACACAGAACAACGAATRAAAAAGCTTTCTTTGGTGACTGGAGGTAAATTGTGCAAGCCCCATAGTGTATTTTTAAAAAGGTATGCATGAGCAAAAGGTAATACCACAAGGCTGAGACATGTTAGTATTATTCTTTACAAAACATGCTTTAAACTTTAAACCAAAACAGAAGATGGTGTGCTGGTCACCACATGGTAAGAAGAAAGGCTACTTTCATGGCGGGAGAAAAAGCAGGGGCAATCTAAAAAAACCCACATCCTCAGAGAAACACAGATTTTTAAATAGTGATTTCTAAGGGTAGTTGCTAAGCTAGGAAGATGGTAAAAAAAACCCCAACACATGCATTGAAGAAGCAATGCAGCATGGACAGATCACTTCAAAAGCTACAGGAGTATACTCATGAAGTACAATCTCTGTCACTCTGTCAACCTGATCAATGCCATCAGTATCATGTTCCTGCCAGTGCAGGAGGAATTCCAGGCAGGCATTGCATCTCCCAAAGTACAAAGAGCTACAGGCAYAAGCACCTGACAGAGCCAGGTCTGAGACAAGCAGAAATACACGAGTTTGTGCAAGCAGTAGTAGAGCAGTGAAACTCCCTGCCACAGGATGCTAAAAGCATCTGTGATCACAAAGGAAGACTAAAGACATTCATTTAAGAAACAATTTATAAATACATATTATACAGGAAATCCCTGAGCTGATAAATGGAGTCTGGAAAATCTAGTGAGAGAAATATAATTGATGCTTGTCTGATGCATCAGCTCTCACCTTTTATCAATTCTATAAGCCAAAGACCACGAGTATGTCTACTTCTTCTGAAATGAAGGGCTTTAATAAGCACTCAAATKAAAAAGAAAACATGAATCAGTATTTGAAATGTCCTCTGCAGGACCACAAGCATAAGAAGAAAATTCTTTATGTGGTGCTATTTTCTTAAAAAGTATGAATCAATTGTATTCAAGTGTGTTCCTTCTCTCTCCCCACTTCAAATCTTGCATGAGGAAATGAGCAGAGATTTACTRTGCAAGTGTTCCCCTCCTAGAACTGCTAGTGACAACAGCTATAAAACAGTGACAAGGACCATCATCCAGTCTCCAGCCAGAAAGAGAAATCACCATCACCTACYCCCCAAACAAAAATGTCTCACCTGAGATAGCTTCGTTGTGGTGGCTGGCAGGAGTGGGCGACTGAACTTCTTCTGAGAACCAATTGCCGCTGGAAATGGCGGTGCAGAGAAGACAGCAGCCACACAGTTAATCTTGTTGATCCAGGTCTGCATTTCTTCTTGACTCCTGGAGAAGAAATACGTAATAATCAACTGTTGACTCAGCCTCTTCTACCACTTTCCACCCTTCTACAGAATTTTAAAAGTGAGAATGAACAGAACTGAACAAGTCTTAAGAGTCTGTTTAGTCCTCCTGGCTATGTTTGTAAGCAGTTAGTGCTAAGTAACTCAGTCACAGGCTGAGGATTGTGAGGGCCATACCTCACCCTGGCACACCTCATTGTGAGGTCCATACCTCAACCTGGCACACATCTTTTCTTAATCGAATCCCAGTAACACATGTGATAGAACCAACCAAAGCCTGGATTCAGACACGTGTCCTAATGTCTTGGTTGCGCTGGCCACCACAGATCTCTAGGGAGTTTCRTAAAGATCTCAGTAGAAAAGGGCTCAGAAGCAAAAGGCAGGTCATCTGTTCTGTCTGGATATCACAGCATGAAAAACATGATCAAATCATTCTTGTATTAAGTAGTAACTTTGTTTCTCACCACAGCATATCTTCTAGAAAGACATCCGGCTAGGACCTGATGACATCAGGAGACAGACAATCCAAGACTGCCTTTGGTCATTTGCTTCAATGATTAATCACCTTGACTGTTTTAAGTTTGTGTCTTGTTTCCAAATTGAATTTCCTGGAGCTTCAGCTTCTAGCTGCTGCATCTTATTATGCCTTTCTCAGCTAGATTAAAAAGCCTCTTAAAACCTGATGTTTCTTTCCCATGCACTACTTGTGCACTCTAATCACATCACTACTTAATCTTATTTCTGATCAAATGAACAGATTGAACCTCTTAAGCCCCTGCTTTAACCTGTCCAGCCAGGAATTTACTCTTCCTTCAGAATTACTTTCTTTCCTCAATGAGAGGCATGAGGAGAGCACTTACTGGGCTTGGAAGAGCAGGACTCTCCAATCTGCTGTTTTAAGCTTGAGAACGTTGGGCTTCTTCTCGTAGTCTGTTGCCTTGGATGCCAGCGCATGGTGCACACTGACTGCATTCTTCAGATCTTCTTCTGACAAAGCCTTTTCGGGCTTATATTCATCCTGCAGGAGATAGCAGGGGGAAAATGGTATCTTATTTCTGCATGTGCTATTCCTTTTTCCTTAGCCCAGGGAAAAACCTTGTTCCACAGCTCAGAAATAGTAATAAGGCATATGAACTGAGTGCAACCTTCTGCACTTGTGGTTTTCACTACCTTTAACATGTTTTCCTTTCTTTCTGTTTTCATTTCTTTCAAGGAAGAGTAGTTCCACTACGTGCTTGACAGGAAGACATGTAAGAAGGAAGTATTTGAGTATGACAACAGCTGTGGATTATTGGTCTTCATTTCAAGAATCATTCATAATCAGCTCCCCACCTCCAATGCTCAGCTACTTGGGTTCTCTGCCTCCACTGCCTGATTTTAATTTTCCTCAACCAACTACCTTTTTATGTGCTCCTAGGCAAGTCCCGACATACCRCAGAAACCTTCTTACCAGTGTCCCCAAAGCAAATGGCAGCAAACTCCCTTAAATCTCTCTGGTGACAGCCTACAAATGGCAAGCACAGCTCTGTCTGGGTTCCTGACACAGTAATAGTACCACTCCTAACACCAGATGACAAAAAAAGGCAGTCAAGCTCCTCTCGTTTTGCAAGCATCAGCCTGGAAGCAGCCTTTGATCTCCTGAGCGACAGAAGCTGGACAAGGGCATAATGTAGCCACAAGTTTTATTTACAGCCCACACGACTATGAATGGCTTGGGAAAGCCAGGAGCTTTTTGAAAGGAAAGTGATTTGCCAGCAAGGCTGCATCACACTATTTCTGAAGGGCAGGCCAAAGCAATCTGTAATTGAATCCATTTCTCCCCTTTAGTGTATCACAGAAATCAGTTTCACCTGCAACATGCACCGAGTGTGATGACTCCAAAGCAGCGGAGTTAACTCCCTGCAGGCACGGTAACTATTGATCCTGCACTTGAACACAATTTACAAGATGAGGTTTCAGAGCAAACAGAGTGCAGGATGCAGTGTGTGTGTGGGGACAGCACTGCTTCAACATCCCGGGGGAACCCACCCAGCAGAAGAGCCAGTTAATGCGAATGAATTCCTTTACAGGACCTCTCTGGCAGCTCAGAAAACAGGAYTGCAGCCAGAGGAATCTACACCACTGCCAAAGGGACCTGAGCTCTCAGCCAGGCTGCGTTGGGGCTCTGCAGGGTGAGTTTCAGTAGATGGAAGTCACCARCTGTGGTGAGCACCTCTTGGAAGGTGGAAGAAAACATCTTGCTCCTCAGCTATGTCTCATCCTTCCTGATGGAGGCCCTGCCAGTGCAGGCCCAGAACTTGCCACACTGCTGCTCAGACACTTCACCTGAAGAGAGGCRGCCACCCAGCAGTCTTGCCACACCACCACCTCCACATGGAGCCAGGCAAGGGCACAACCCACCACAGGTCTGGCAAGCCCAGTAGAAAGGCAGAGTATTACTGTACAARTGACCAAAGGGCACCCTAGAGATCTGCGACATAAAGGGTTTTCAAGGGTTGGCAGAGAGGGACCAAATGTCCTGCCTCTSTCAAAATTTGAGACTCAGCAAAATTTGGAGGGATCTGTCTATCTAGATGGATTTTGCCTATTGTCCACTTAGGGCGTTCTTTAAAACCTTTTCAGTGAAGTTTGGCACACTCTGTCTTGAACATGGAGGAGGCAAGGCCTCAGGTCAAGCTCCTTCTTTTAAGGGTTCACGAGCTGATTAATTTGGTGGTAGTTTTGGGAGAAATGACTGGCTCCATTGTCCAGGGAGACTGGGAAAACCTCAGAGCCAGGAAATTACCACAGGCCTCAGAAACATGATATTCTATCTTTCCTTGCATTACTGCCAAGAGACAGTGTCAGCTATCACCTGTCTTAYTGCCTCCAAGCTTCTTCTGTGAGTTGCATCCAATGTCCACAACCTGCTCTGGTGTCTAAACCCGTTTCAAAAAAAGTCCACATTTGGGCTGTCCCAGAAGGCTGAGAACCCCTTCTTTCCGACAGAAAGCACTCGTGGTAATCCTTGCTAATCCCAYCATATCAGTTGGCTGCAATCTACCTTGACAGCTGGGGCTCTGCCAGCTTCTCCAAAGGCACTGATCAGCATACCGGATATGTCTCCACATAAGTTTGCCAGCCTCAGAGAAAGCTGCAAGGACATGAATATGCTGCCAAAATTCCTTCTTCAAGGCCTTCAACTCTTTTTGACTGGTAGGGAATGCTAGGGGAGTAGGAACATCCATTTTCACCCATGCCATCAAGGACAGCATGTGGTATGATGTGCTGGTGTCAGCATGGAGGTTGAGCTGAAATGGAAGGCAGTGTCTAAAGTTAGACCTAGACAGTGGCAAGAAATATATATGGGAGCCAGAAAGGAATTGTGACCTGTCTGTCAGCTGAAGGCTGATGTGAGTGCAGCACACAGTGCAATAGTATGCTGAATTCATCTTTCTCAAACTCTAGGAGAATGACTTTTCCACATCCTGCTGACCCAGAGACAGCATATTTCTAAATCAGTTTTTGGTAAACCAGAGAATGACATTTGTCTTTTCTTATCAGTCAATATACCATGGATGGGTATCTCCACTCAGCTGCATGTGATGGCTGCAAAATTCCCTTTAAGAAAGTCTCATCACCAAACACTTTACATCATTCTGGCCTTTCTCAATTTTTTTATTCACTTTTAATAGAGTATGAGAAAATTTATATAAAAATACCCAAAGCTTGCAAGATTATGAAGTGCCACATCAAAGAACAAAGACGTTGCAAACCTCACAGAAGAGTCCAAACAAAACGTGAAGGTTCGCATCCTGCACTGCTTACCCAGGAGCAATTTCTAGCAAAGAAGTGAGGTCAGTCTTAYGTCCTCTCCTCATAAGCCTCTCTTGTGCATGCACATCACATCCTGTGTCAGTCTAGTGAACAGACATTCTGTCAAGCTCCTACTTTGCAATTTCCTCTTGCTATGAACCGAGGGCAGGAAATTAACCTTGGCCTGAGGATGCCCAGAGACACAGCCAACATCCCAAACATGTCAAACTTCTTATTTTATATAATACTGTGCATGCATGTTCAGTTGGCTAATTGTGAACGTTTCCACTGAGCCCCTCCGGTGCTCTCCGTGCTCACAAATTCAGAAACCATCTCTCTTAAATCACTCATTAAAGAACAAAACAATATGCAGTATAGGAATTAGCACTGGAATAATTCCAATGAAAAAAAAACTGGGCAGGGAGACAAGACTGCCCAGAAAAACTCCTCAGTAAATCTCAAGTGACCACCATTTACAAAATACTCTCATACGTGGACTTTGACAACAAAACAAGTAGAACTGGAATGCAAACAATGACAGCATAACTGGGATCACACTGCYCACTGGGGGAATCACAGCTGCTATGAACAATTAATATTTATATTACAATAGTGTCTTAAGGGAGCATCTGAGTTACAGATGAACACAGATTGCAATATTGCAGAGGTTTGTACTTGCATTTGTGTGTAGACAGCACCTGTACAGTGAGATTTCTCTCTATCCTGCTTCAACAGCACTCGGTGCAATGAAAGCAACATCACAGATGTCATCTCCACAGATATATAAAGTGAAAGAGGGAAAATGCGTGTGAATGCACCCAACCCTACAGCACTCTATAATCAGAAGACAGGGTCAACTGAGACAAGGCAATCCTTTGACCAAGACTATTGCCAGAGTTCTTTGCACTTCTGCGAAGAAATCAAGCTGCTCTAAAATGCTTCAGCACTTCGTGAAAATTGGTTCATTTCAGTGCCTAGTATATTGCAGATGGAAACAGCAGCACAGCAACCTTTATTATAAAAACTTGCCCTAGCAGTGCATTTTTAAACTCTGGCATCTTCACCTTCTATGATACTACTGGTTTATTTGAGTGCTGAAGCAAAGCCCTGGTGGACCTTCCGAAGCTGAAGCCACAGCTGTAGCGTGGGGCTGAGCAGGGGCCAGAGGCACCCTGGAGAAGCTCACAGCTGCCCCGTCACTCTTGGAATAACTTACTTCCCATCACATCCTTCTGTCAACCTCTCACAGCCCTAAAGCAACAGCCTTGCTTGTCATTGTGCTACAGTATGATGGCTTCAACGCAAGTGGGAGAATGCAGCTTTGCAGAGTACTGTCCTGCAATCACTGAATTCAAATGCACTGGCAAGTGCAAAACACACAAATAACAAACAAATAAGAACAAGAACTCAAACAATGCATTTCACTCTGCAAAGATGCAGTCATATGTGAAATTACTCCCTTGCTCCTGAAAGCATGGAAGGTAACAGGGGCGAGGGCAGCATTCTGCAGAAATTTGCATGCTACATCAGCATCTCTACATTTTATTAAACAGAAAGCATTACAAACTAATATGCCAGCAATAGTCATAAAAATATTTAATTAAGGTGCTAAAATAGATGGTGTCCTCAGTTCTTTCCCTTGAATATCAATTAAGAAATCAATTTTTGTAGTACAAACAAGGTGCCTTCTTATTTTTCAGAAAGCAATGCAGYCTTTTCAGGTGAACATTAAAGATGACTTATTTCAAAAACTGAAGATTAATCCACTTCACTCAGGAAAGGGCAAGTACAAGCCTGCCAAGAARGCATTTTAAAAGTACAACATGAACCTGCTCTCAGCAAAAGGACTTGGGATTTACATGACTTTTTTCTAGTGTCTTGCGCTGGCTTTGAGCATATCAAATCCAACTTCAGCCCAAATCTTCTATCCTGACAGCAGATTGCTTTGTCTGTATCAGGATTTCAGCTCCCTCAAAAAAGTAGTGCACCTTGAGCATCCACCTTGTAAACCTCATGCTGCAATAATTTGATCCCAATCACTTTTCTTTATCAAGAGACTATCCACATTGGCTCAAATGAAACCAACAGAAAGCCATATTATGGGAGAAGGAAACAGCAGTGTGTACTTGCACTCCGGAYAGTTACAAAATAGAGTGGAAATTTAAAACAGCTTTCAAAGAAGCATACTTCTGCAATACAGGGCAGTCTGGACAAGCAGCATCTATTTTATGAATATTTCATCTATATTGGAGGGCAAAAAGCCTTAACAACCTACTTAGCTGCTGCCATTTATTTGATTTTGACAGTTCTCACTCATATGTTGCATTTTATGTTCTAACAGTACAGTTTAAAATGTACTATATTTAAGCTTGCAACAAAAGCTTCATCTGACATTTTTTTTTTAGACATCTTGCTGTCAGGAAGCACATTTTGTTAGAAACCAGGCTCTTCTTGCTTGGTGGGAAAAAAGTATCCTTTTATCCTTCAATTTTGCAAAGGAACAGAAGCTGCAGATTCCTACCAAGGCCAAGCTGTTGTCCAATTGTTTTGCAGCTGGTCTTGCAGGCACTGCAGAAAAGTATACTATGAAAAGGTAGGAAAGGAGGACAACCTTACAGAAGGGGAAGTCATATGTATGAAATACAAAGTTAAAAGCACCCTAGAGGAATGTGTGCATGACACAGAGAGGTGACACTGTCTTTGCTGGTGAAGCTGGCTATTTTTTTCAGCAATGTGAGACACAAAGGCATACACTGGAACTTACTGGGTGAACATGTGGATGGGGAGTGGAACTGAACTCGAAATTGTGAAAAGAGAGAGGGTGAAAGGATTCATGCCTGAATGTGTGTGTTAATAGGGTGGGGGGTAGGGACATCAGCCACACTGCGCATTAGAGGGAAAGGAGCCTGGAGGTGGGCTGAGAGAGTGGAGAGGATGCATACTGCTTTATCCCTCTTAAATTAGTTTTCAAAAGASAGCGCTTTCTCCTACCTTCTGCAAGTAAAGGACCGTTCCCTTCAGCACAGCATAAAAGGTTTTCCAGCCTCGTTTTCCTCGGGGAGCTGGAAAGAAAACAAATGAAAACCCAGTTAACTCAGATCCATTTTTACACTTTGTCTAGGCAACAAGAGAGCTACATTGGTCCTGTGTTAAACCTCCTTCATACTATCTTTTTCAAAGGACAATGCAACTGAACACAATGCCTGCACGTACCTGCTGTGAGAGAGAGAGAGTAATACAACAGCCCTGACGACAGCCCTGCACTGGATCAGAAAAGAACAGCAGCAATGCAGAAAGCAGGCCACAGAGATCCACAGTCTTGGTGATCTTGCAGATAGGCAGACGCTGTCTCTACACAGCTAGGTCTGAACTCTGCACCATGGCAGTTTGCAGAAAGGAACACCCTTTCTGTTTGCCACTGCAGGCTGGTAGGCAATGCTCAGGACCAGTGGGATACTACTCAGAAAGCAGTATCTCTCAAGAGCATCCTTCCTCTTTACTGCTGCTGCACACCCAAGTTCACATTGGAAAGGAGAAGGGTGCCAAACAAAATCCTACGAAAAAATCCCAACCCCATAAGAAAGCTAAAGCCAGTTAGAGGTTGAAGAACATAACAGAGACAACATATCTATCCCATAAATTCCTACAAACAAGCAGCAGGGGGGGGYGGGAAATGTAAATTCAGCATGAAGGCTGAAGGATCAGTTTGAAACAGCTGCAATGGAGAGAGAATTAGGCACAGGCTGTACGGTCACCATGCCAAACACTAGAAGCCTGGATCTAAGCTCACTCCCCACCAAGCACTCAGCTGACCAGCATCCATATATACGCAKATCACTGACCTTATACTGAAATTAATAACCTGTGCATAACTAAAGCATGACACTCAGAAAGGTACCTCATTCTGATCTGAAGACAGAAAAGATGAAGAGGYTACACATCCCTTGTCCCGAGGAGGTTAATCATTCTCATCTCGCATAACAGGCCTTATTTCCAACTGGCATTTGTTCGGTTCAGCTTCCAGGCATTTGCCCCTGTTACATCCTTCTCCTCTAWGTGCTTAAGTGCCTCTAGCCCTCAGAACTAGGCTCCTGAGAAAGTACACATGAGCATTCTAGCACATCACCTCATTGTAAATCCAACACAAGCTAATCTCTGCTCAGCAAAATCTCCATTAAGAAATTAAATATGAAAAGGTCTAGCTTAAAAAAAAAARARAAAAAAAAATTGTTTATTYGTGCCTGGAAAGCCAGAATGCAACTTTTTTGAGAGCTGTATGACAGCAAGACAGAATTTAAATTGTACAGAAACTTCTGAAAATTTGACCCTAATTACATTACTCATAAAAGGGTTATCCCCAAAATGCCAGCGTTTAGTGTGCTGAATAATGAGCAATTCTGGTACTTATAATTAAAGAAATAATTTAAAAAGGCAAGTAGATACAACTACTTATTAAGGCTGAATAAAAAGATGTTTAATAAAGATGAATCTATTTAGAGCACCCTGTCATCACAAAGAATGAGGTCAGTCTGATTTTGACACCTCTGTCTGGATTCAGTTGTCCAGCTGTCAGCTTCCATTTTGAAAACACTGACCTCCAATTGTACCTTCTAAAATAGACTAGCAAAACATGTGAACACCAGACAACACAGCCCAGCTAGAAGAGACTGGCAGTTACTGGAAACCCATCATGAAGCCAGGCTCTGGGATTTAGTCCAACAATGAGAACCACAAGTAGGCAGTGATCAACAATGACTGGGGAAACGCAGATGCTTTGACTAACGTCTGCTTTTTCCAAGATCTGTAGACAACAAATGAAAGTATCCAAACACCGAAACACACACATGCATCAGAGGCCCTCAATAATTAGAACATCACAAATAGAAGTAGGGCAAGAAGGGAAGAAGATAATTAAAGTAAGTAAGAGATGCAGCAGGATTATTACAAAAAAAAAGGGCAGGGAGGAACTGCATAGTAAAAAGCTGGATAGTGCCAAATGCTGCTGCCCTTCATTGGATATGTGACCCAAGGCTGGGAAGGTAGGAAAGGAACAGTTACAGCATCTTCCAAACAGAGGTGAAGAACAGCCTTTCTTTAAAGCCAGACCGAGGGGGAAGGGATATTTGGAAGAATCTGGTGTCACATAAGGAAAAGGAGAATTATCAAATTACTAAAGAACAGCTACTGTAATTCACTTGAAATTATTTTCTATTCTGTAAACCACTACATTAAATTTCTTTTAGCACAAAAAATTCCCATTGCGTTTCTGTATCACATTACTTCTTATGCTCATRCATTAGGGCTGCTGAAAATGGGACTGAGCATTGTAAATCCTGGCACTGTATCACAGTGAGAGTGTGATAATCCAGTTGCTGTGTTGCCAGTTATTGCTCCTATTTCCCCTAATGATGCAGCACTCTTTGCCTTGAGAAGTACATGGGCTCATTGTGAAAACATAACAAGAAAATAACACATTAGGATTGAAAAATTACTCACTTTTCTTTCCGTCCATATCTGCATGGATTTTCCGAGCCAGAAATCCAGTTTTATAGAYAGCAGCATTGGGGTCATGAGGGATGTCCAGGAACGGGTTATTTGAGTTGCCAATTCTACTGACAGCCTTTGTTTGGCTCCCATTATCCTTTTCATCTGTACCATCCGAGTGAGATTTTTTTTTCTCTTCTTCATCCCTTAAAAAGCAGTGAAAATCATACATGAATGATGGACTGACCAGCAAAGTTTAGTTTCAGCAATTTTTGAACACTCCTTGTCAAAACATAGCTCTCTTTATAGGGAGCCAGACTCAAGAGAGAAACCTAGAAATATACCAAAATACAGACATATCATAGCAAAGCTTCAGTTCACCTACTTCACCAGGATACAGATTTTCAATAAAGCCTAAGTTTCCATTACTGTCTCAAAAGATAAGATTTCAAGAGTGTTCCATGTCCCAGACAACCTATTTTTAATTCCATGCATTTGAGTGCTAAAATGGAAAATATTTACCTGCTGGGTTCTCCTGAAAAATGCCCAATTTCTTCACATGTAGATGAAAAGAATTAGAATAATGCAGATCACTGCAGCTTACCCGTTAACTTAGCATATGGAACATGGACTTTCCCTCTTTTCCTTTATTTTCCTCTGCAGCCTGGCATAAAAGTAGTAATTTAAAAATAAAAACCACACTAAGTGAATTATGTTATCTTTACTTTGGAAACAAAATGCTGTTCAAAATGTTACTTATTAGGGCAATGTATTCAACAGAGCTCTTGGGACAACAATGTAAGCCACAAGCATTGCCTGACTAATAAATGCCTTTTTGCTTGTCAAAGGCAAAGSCTAAAAAGGACTAGGCAACTAGAAAATAAAAGGTGTCCATCACAAGAGTAGGATAATGGTTTTTAAGAGAACAGGCTGCTAAATCTATGTGGGTGGTGTATTTGAAGGAATCACAGCTAGTGATTACAGAGCAGTGCTTCATCCTCTGAAGTCCACATACATTCCCCTCCAGATGGCTAGGAAAGGTGTGTCAGGGAGGATTAAGGCTGTCATTGCAAAGTCATGGTAGCAACATTTCCTGAGACCACATCTGATTTAAAAAAAAAAAATCGTCTGAGCATAATGATGGCTAATATTGYCAACCCATTGGGCATGGCCCTCAAGTTGCTGCATGTCACTGGACCCAGATGACTGGCAGAGTGAGCAAACTTAGGCAGACCTTCCAATCACATATATATGTCCAAAAGCATGTATTATGACAGGATTAGCAAGGCTAATCCTTTAGAGATACACTGCTATCATGACTGCTTATGGGAATGACCATACAAAAAGATATTCCCCAAGAACCATGGGCTAGAGCAATAAATACATGTTATCCTCAGCTCTGCTGAAAAGGATGCTCATTGCTGCTCTCTACAGCTACCTGAAAGGAGGTTGTAGCCAGGTGGGACTAGGCCTGTTTTCCCTGGCAACCAGTGAAAGAATGAGAGGACACAGCCTCAAGCTGTGCCAGGAGAGATCCAGGCTGGTCCAGGAGGAATTTCTTCACTGAAGAGTGGTTAAGCATTGGAAATAACTGCCCAAAGAGTCACCATCCCTTTAGGTGYTCAAGAAACAACCTAATTTGGCACTTAGTGCCATGATCTAATTGACAAGGTGATGTCCAGTCAAAGGTTCTACTTGATCTTGGAGGTCTTTTCCAAACTAGGTGATTTCAAACAGAATGATTCTATGATTCTATGAAACGGTCTTCCTGGGAATAATTCAGTCTAAGGAGATAAAAGGTAATAGATTGGTTTGACAATATGGAAGCCAAATCCAGAGGCATATGGGCTGTTTTAGTGAACTTCTTATTACAGGGAATGTTTCTAAGCATTTGACTTTGATCACCTCATAATAATTGTAGAGATACAGTCTAGGAGGTGCACAGAAGATGTTGTCTTGGAAGGTCTCCTAATAAGAAGTAACAAAATTTTACTCAAAGCCCTGATTCCTGCAAAGAAGAGCAGTCTCTCAGCCTACTGATGAGTGCTTTCCCACTCCAGCATACAAGGTTCTACAAATTTTTTTTGTAAGCCAAAGCAATAAGGACTTCTTCAACTATGCTTTGGTTGAAGCCTTCTCCCAGTTGAAAAAGTGTAGGCATTTCTGACAATTTTGTTTGTTCCCACCCTTCACATCTCTACTACACTCACTAGCTGCTGGTAAGTCTGAGCCTCTGTGTGTCATGATACATGTTCATCATACATGTCTAGATATACAGCCATTCCAGAAGCAAATGCTCTCARCACAAGTCTGAGGTACTTAATCCAGACTAGAATCTCTCAAAGGGCACAAGCACTCTGACTGATGTATCACAGAGAAGTGCTTTGTGAATTCTGGGATTTCAGCCAAGGACACAGCAGATTTCTCCTTGTGAGCAGAGACCAACTGCAGTAAAAGGCATTAACATTTTTTTGGAATAAGCTATCTCCTTTGGAGCTACAGGAGTGAATGATTGTACACTGATCAACTGTCCAGTGGGAATATACCACTGCCTTTAACCAAGGAACTGCAGTGGTGTGATGAGCAATCCTGAGGGATCCTGGACACCGCTAAGTGCAGGGGGCAGTGCTCTTAAACTCAGCAGCTACTAAAACAGCTTAAACTAGGGCAGCTGTTAAAATAGGAATTCCTCAAAAGACATGGTGGACAAGGACAAAATAGCATCTGCTGTCACGACTGCTGACAGCATTGAACAAACCTTTAACTGGTCTTTTGTTCTATCACGAAAATGGGACATCTTTGAGACTCAGAAACTTCAGGCACTTCTGAAAGCTGAGTGCTCTGACAATAGGCATGAGGGCAAGATGCACAAGTCAGTCTGAAAGAGGCAATAAAGGGAGCCAGAGAGGCAAAAAGGATTCATTACAAACAAGAAGTGGATGAAGACTAGGGAATCTGGGGCTCATTTACTCAAATACTCCATGTTGCTTCAGTAGTCAAACACAAGAAGAAAGCAAGATGATTTGGAGGAATGGYAAAGTAGCAAAAAAAGTTCAGGTATTTGCCTTTCTTCAGGTATCTTGCAAAACTGGCTAAATACATAGGTTCTGCATACCTTTTATGAGGGATTTAAAAATTAGTGCTCATTCCTATCAAGGCTTTAGGGTACTGTTGCAAGAAAGAACTGCAGAAAATTCAGTGGGCCTCTGGGTACATAAACCTGAAAACTGAATTTTGTTTGAACCCCCAGCTGGGGGGAATGTGACTATCTCTTCCTCCTCAGATGGCTCTCACAAATCATCCATGTGCCGTAACATCCCCAGTGTGAAGATCTCCACTGATGTAGGATAAGATTTAGTGGGTGGGGGTCTCTGTGCAGATATATTCAAAGTCATGGATGTAGTGTCCCACGGGCACAGCTCAGGTCCCTTTTTAAGGGCAGGACCACTGCCTCTCCTYTCTATTTCATACAAGAAGTAGCACAATCCTTGTGCCTTTGGGGAGAAAAAACCCCACAATGGCTCCAAAACACATTTCAAAAGGCAAAACATCATCATGAGGGTTCAGTTAGGCTTGCAGAACTCTCAAGAGATTTTCTGTCCCTGATCAGCAGAGGACATCATTCCCCGCTCTGGGTCTTGAAGCAGTACTTGTGGCCCCTCCCTGATGACTGAAAGGGGTTGATAGCTACAAAAAAATCTTTAAGTCCCACTTTCCATCCACATGAAATGGGGCCTACACTGTCTCTGCTCTGCAGGGTGCTGGTGACAGGAAATGGTTACCATCTGTAGAGTTTCTCCAAGGCTTTGCTTATGGCCCATAATGTTTGCAAGGCTTCCCAAAACAAAGAGCTTCAGCTCATCTCCCTAAGCCTATCTCTTTGCAAAAGGACCTGCAGATAGAGCAGTGACCAGATTTCTGGCATGAGAACCAGTACACCAAAGCTGGGATCTACTTGAGCTACCACTTGCAGTCACTTGTTGAAACAGCAATACATTTTTCCCTTCCCAAATACATGACCCCTGACAGCCAGAAAGAGTTTGCCTCTTATTCTCAAACACGTAGATGTGAAAAACTTAAAAATCCAGATGCTGCCATTTTTGTGAATAAACGCGTATTTTGCCTCTCCAAAAAAGACCCTGTACCAAGGAAGCCTCGTTTTTGTCTTCTGGGAGAAAAGCACCATCCGGTTCTCTCAGTAACAAAATTATTTCTGTACACTTTATGGTCTGATTTGAGGCTCTGCCTTGGAAAATTTTGAAGACACTAATCTGGAACGATGTGGTTATGCCATTCATTTTTAAAAGTCTGCTTATGTCTCTGCATTTGTTCAAACAGCAAACTTATATGACATAGCAGAAGGTTACGTTCATCCATTTAAATACTGCAATTGAAAAAAAAATTCAAGTTTGTAACATGCATCTGTGGAACTGATAGCATTTATACCAGGAAACTGACTTGAGAAAAGTTTTGGCATCTTTCCCAGTAGGAGGAGAGAAGGAAGTATACCCAGGCTGATTGCCACCTAACCCAACTCTAAAACACATCAAGAAGTTGCAAAGAGGAAAAATCCTAGCACTTGGGAGACAAAGAAGTCAATTATAATAGGGAGAGATTTCTCAGTTTGACCTAGAAAAAGGTGAGCTTTAGCACAGATGTCTTTTTAACTACCCTGATCTCAGCATCACAGTTTGATTTGGCAGCATCTCTTTTCTATCGTCAGTGTCTCAATGACCTGTTTTGTTTTGGCTCAAAGGAGGTAATTTTTCGGTGTTGTCTAAAAAAACAGGAAAAGAATATACCATATCCATGTAAACTTCTCTAGAAAGAAAAACTGCATCATTGACTACTTAAAAACCAAGTAATTCTCCTGAAAACCATTCACATCTTCACTACTCCTGAAAAATTCACACCTTYGGGGTGTGCAGTGTGGAGTAAAAAATGCTTTCAGAATCCCACATTCATCAGTTCACGGCAAATTCCATCCAGGTCAGGTCTCTTTATTTTACAGATTATGGTATGTGATTGACTTTTAACTTTCTGGAGAACTTGAACCAGGCCCTACTGCAGAAGAAGAGCTGTAATGCAATTCGCTCTTCAGAGCTGTACTCATGCTTTCCTGTTCTAAAAGGAWAAATGAATACTCCTACTGAAAGTCTCTGGAGCACATCTGCTGATTAAGGTGTCACTTCTCATGATTACAAAATTGAAGTCAATGGTAGCCTTTTCTTTGCGTGGGCTTTAGATCAGACTGTAATTCTACTGGAAATGTGCAGCCAAGTGTTCAGGATGATAACACACCTAGCTCACCACTAGTAAGGCAAGGACTGGATGGCAGTCTTTCCCTCTATTATGTTTCACCATTACCCTCTCCTGCCTATRGACTTATTGATAGCCAACAATCCACAAAATAATGTACTTTCAGAGCAGTTCTTACACCCTGGCTTAACTCATGAGCGTCTTAGATCCTCAAAGGATTTCTGCCAGAGGAAAGGCATTCCTTCAACATGCCAGCATTTCAGGAGAGCTTGTACTGGGGTTTGCAGTCCTATCTTCACTTTTGCCTTACGTCCCACTTCTTATCCTGCTAAGTGCACCAGGGAAATAAAGGAATTGTCTTTGGAAGAGAGAGACGATCTTCCTCAGTCCCATCAGAACAAAACTGACCCTGTCTCCTTCCCATTCAGCTTTCTCTGCAGATCACAACAGTAGAGCAAGAGAGTTACAAGTCTCCTCGCTCTAGCTCAGGCAGCCCCAGGGCTCCTTGGGGTTATCACTTTGCACCAACCAGACAACTCTGTAAAAACGAAGAGAAACATCTTCACCCTCCCTCTTCCAGCCAGTACTCTCAGCTCTAAAGGCACTAGTCCCAATGAGCTTTGTTTCTAGTAATTTCAAGTAATTGTCCTAGCTACATGTCAGACAGACTTGAACAGATAATTGGCACCTTTGAGCATTCTCCCGTAAGAAAGTAGCCTTATATCCACCTGATATTTTATTAAAAAAAGAGTCTGAATTATCCCTCTTCCAGCCGGCTCAGAATTTTCCCTCAAACAAAGGACATGGACTAGACTATGTAAATGCCAAAGCAGTTATCACCTACACAGAAGCAAGCTATCTCATAAATCACCTTGACTGAGGTTCATGGGAGCAGAGCCAGTCATGAGCCAGTTCCCACTTGGAGGCTGCCCAAGTGTATTAGACACGGTATGGTCTCTTGGCAAGGGCTGGAGGAAAATTCTGACATGGAGAAAGTCACATAATGCATTCTGCTGGTTCTAAAGTACCTGTGACAGAGTCTGGCAAACAGCTTTGGTGTGACATCTAAGATTCACACAGCGCGCTTCAGGTCCAAGACACAGTCTGCGAAAACGTCTCCCATCATGACTTTTAATGCTTATTGGAGATGGCACTTCTTGCTGATTCCCCTTAGTAGCACACCTTCTTTACTACTCTGGTATCATCTAACACATTTCTGAACTGGGACAGCTTTCCCGCTTGGAACCAGCAGCCCTCTTTTGAGGCTGCACACCCTGACAAGAAATTTGTTTGCAGATCATGAACTTAAAAAAAGAAGCCACTGAGCCTGCAAGACCTATGGCAGTTGCTAGGACTTCTGAGAGGTACAGGAGCATGCATTCCAGACACGCATTGCTCCCAAGWAGATGAGGTTTCAGATATGTAAATACATGCAGGGAAATACCTTTGTATGGCCAAAATACATTAAAGACATAATTCTTCCATTTTATATCAAAATTCACTGTTCTGCAAGTGGCAAAATCTAAAGAAGACCCTTCTACTCTCTGCTGGTATAACTAGACCACATGAAACCTAAGCACAGAGAAATGTCAATTTAACACAATCAGATATGGAAGCTTTTCTTGTCTTCAGCATTTCCATAGTTAGCAAGTGTTAACCTGTCAAAAGCAACTAAGGACTGGAGGGAGGATATCAGACTTTGTCCAATTTATCATCTTTCACATTAGGCTGTTGTCAAGTTATCTATAGTTAATCAGGAGACAAACCAAGACAATAAACCAACAGCAGGAAACTCAATCCAAGATGTGTGTTTCTATTCAGCGGTTCTGACACAATGAACAGAAAAATAAAGGGAGAAGTCACTTCTGTTTTATTTATGCAGTCATAGAACAACAGAGGATTTAATTTCTCTCTTTTCAGGCTGAAGTTTCCTACTAAATGAAATGTCCTCTTTCCTTACAAATGCAGTTGGCTCCTATTAACAACTCCCCTTGCTGGAGAAACAGATGAGGCTGTATTGCCAGATCATTCATTAGCAAAAAAGCAAACTCATTATGTAYGCTGGCTATCATCTACAAGCTTTGGAACACAGATGGTGACATAGAAGGTATAAACAGATTACTACACAGGTACTGTTTTTAAACTCCTAATTTCTATTCAGTATACTTACACTGCCCATTCCAGCTTCTCATTCTTGATTGAATTGTAGAGGGCCTGCAAAAGGAGAAAAATGAGATGGAATTATTGTTTGGCTCCTCCTACATATACATTAATACGYTGAGGAAAGATACCTGATTAATGTCATCAAGAAAGCTGTCTCTGATCAAGAAAGTACTGTATCTGCTAACAGCAATGTAAATATCTTCAGCAGAAATTTCACCTAAGGAAAAAAACTGAATGCAGGTTTTGAGATTGCAGTCATTTTCTCAAGCAAGTTCTGGGGTGTGTGATCTTTTAAGATGATAGAATCATGGCAAAACCATGGAAAGGACCTTAAAGACAATCTAGTTCCAACWATTCTGCCATGGGCAGAAACATCTTTCACTCGGCCAGGTTGCTCAGGGCCCCATCCAACCTGGGCTTCCACGCTTCAAGGAGTGGCCATTCATAACTTTTCTGGGTAATCTGTTCAAGTGCCACATCACAATCACAGTAAAGAACTTCTTCCTAACATATAGTCAAAACCTGTTCTCCTTCAAACTGAAAGAGATCCTTTCACTGATCCTTTCACTACATGCACTTGTAAAAACTACTTGTCAGCTGCCTTCAGGTACTGCAAGGCTACAATTAGGTCACCCTTAAGCCTTCTCTTTTCCAGGCTGAACAATTCAAATTCTCTCAGCCTGTCCTCATAGGAAATGTGGTCCATCCACTTAATCATTTTGGTGTTCCCCTCCTACGGACTCAATCCAATAGGTCCACGTCCTTCCTATGCTGGGCCCCCCAAGCTGGATGCAGTGTTCCAGATGGGGTCTCAGCAGAGCAGAGCGGAGCAGAGGGGCACAATTCCCTCCCTCCCCTGCTGCCCACGCTGCTTTGGATGCAGCCCAGGACACGTTTGGCTCTCTGGGCTGGCAGTGCCCATGGCCAGATCATGTCCAGCCTCTCACCCACAGCACCCCAGGTGCAGAACCTTGCACTTGGGTCTTGTTAAACCTCTTCAGATTCTCATGAACCCATTTTTCCATCTTGTCCAGGTCCCTCTGGATGGCATACCATCCTTCAGCTTGGTGTTGTCTGCAGATTTGCTGAGGATGTATTTGATCCCTTCATCCATGTCATTAACGAAGATATTAAATAGCACTGATCCCTATATGAAGCCCTGAGGGACACCRCTTGTCACCAATGTCCATCAGGACAATGACCACTCTCCTCTGGATATGATCATCCAACCAATTTCTCTTCCACTGAACAGTCCACCAGTCAAATCCATCATTTTGCAATTCAGASAYAYGGATGTTGTGGGGGACCCYGTCAAAGGCTYTACTAAAGTTCAGATACATGACATCTCTAACYCYTCCCCTGTCCACTGATGTGGTCACTCCATCATTCAAGGTCACTGGGTTGGTTCAGGCAGGGCTTACCCTTGGTGAAGCTGTGCTGGCTGTCTTGAATCACCCCCCTGTCCTCCATGTGCCCTAGCACAGCTTCCAAGAGGATCTGTTCCATTAAATTCTTAGGCAGAGGTAAGGTTGATGTTGGTAGTTCTCAGGGACCTTCTTTCTACCCTTTTAAAAGATGTAACATTGTACCCTCTTGCWGTGCCCTGGGACTTCACCAACACAATGGTGAATTCATGGCTACCATGACTTTACAAATGCTATGGAAAGTGGCTTGGCAACTACAAAAGGCAATTACCTCAGGACTCTGGGATTCATCTCATTGGATCCCACAGACTTGGGTACATTCTAGTTCCTCAGGGGGTCATGAATCTGAACTTTACTTACAGTTTAAAAAAGCCACAAGACTATAGCCTTGAAATTCAAGGTTCAGTTTCATTCCTGACACTTAATGAGATCTTTCTGTCAATGACTTCAATGGGGCCAAGATTTTGTCACACAGGCTTGCCTGTGAAAATTTCCTAAAATAGCTATCCAAAGCTCCTGAGCCTCATAGATACCTGAATGCTTTCCCAGCCACATAGCTAAACATAAACATGTTTAGTTTCTAAGTGCAAAACAAAAAATGAAAGCTAAGCAACTTTTGTGCTTGAAGATTTTGGACTGCGGCCCACTAACACTGCTCCTCGTTCAATGCAAAGGAAAGATGCCAGTAGGTTTGACACCAAACATAACAGTTCTGTTGTTGATAAAAGCCTGCAAAGAAAAGGGTCTGAAGGCTGACTCAAGCATGGGTGAGTATCAGACAGCTGGGACAGATTTTTTTTTTTTTTTTGAGAGCAAGTACATACATCAGTTGGATAAGTAAGTCTTACTTCATCCCTCCAGTAGTTGATGTATACAATGGTTAAACCTCTGCTATTACTACAAGCTAATGGAGTTCTTCAAATAGGTCACTTGACTCAAGTGAAGTATTTTGGTATGGAATGTCCCTGATTTTCACACATATAATCCACATTTGTAATTCACCTTATATCCATAGCTAGATTTACTCCCTCTGSCACATAACTCCTACACAGCCTCAAAATATGCTAACGTGTGGAAGAACTGTTGATGCACATGATTAGCAAAAAGTAGCACATCAAGTATGAACAAGTCTGAAAATCACATACTATAAAAGCTATGACATGCTTAACAGAAGCAGTAACATTTAGATAGTCTTAATGTTGACCTAAACCAAAAATAATTTGGAAACTGAGGAGTTGAAATTAGTTTTGTGCATATGCCACAGCTGAATTCGCATGAGCAATACCACGAGCATATCCCACTCTTCATACTGTCATTCACTGGCTCCTTTCTGAATCTGGAAGTCTTATTTCAAAATCCTTAATATTTGGCTCTGTGGAAATCTGGCTTAACTGAACCACACAGGAGAAGGTCAAACATACTGGTCCAACTCACCTCATGCTGATGCTACATAGGCAGCAATTTCTAGTCACAGTGTTCCAAAAAAGTAGGTTTCTGAGAGCAATACAACAGATATAAACACCAGGAATAATCATGCCCCATCCTACTTACACTGACCTAGCAAAGAGAGGTCCTCGCCACCAACTGGGCTTCCCTGTGCCATTCAGAGCAATGCGATGAAATATTTCCAAGTCTGGAATTTTCACCATTTCTATATAACCTATCTTCTTTGAAGTTGTATAAGGAGCTCTGGACTAAAGCCAACCAGCCAAAGGTGAAGGGAAGGATATTTCTGGCAATTTCTAGGCACTTGCCTAATTTTCAGGTGAAAGCTATCAAGAGATTTTAAGACCACTTTGCAAAAAAAGGGCAAAAGAAAGAGCTAGTATTTCTCCTAGCAGTTCAGCAGAAGTAGACATGACTCCATTATTCTACGCAAATGCATGTTGATAACGATTCCCTGAGCTCACTGGGCATTTATTAGAAGCCACTACGTCCCTAATGATTTGGCCAAAGCCCCTGTCTTGTTTGACTTGCTCTTTCTTCCTGCTATGACTAAAATATTCTGTTACATTTTGAGCCAGAAAATTACTTCCAAATACAAAGCAAAGAGGCTGCATTCTTTCCCCAGTTGCCTTCCCCTTTTTTTCAGAAGCAGTATATTTTCTTCATCTGGCTGAATGAGTTTTTGAAACAGCAAAAACCTGGCTTGGGAAACACATTCGTTGCTCTCTGGCCCAAATGCCTACAAGACTGGGTCAAAACCTCTGAAAATTAACACCTGCCCTGTGCAGGTTTTTATGAAATTTCACCGCTAAGCACATCTCTAGGGATCACTGCAGCCAAAGAGCAGAACACACAAAAGCAGCAGTCCAGATTGGTGCAGGGACAACAAATGCCCCAGGCTTTTGCCTTGTGAAAAGAGGGATATGTTTGTCCCAATCTTTACTAATGAGCCAGAAATCGTCTTCCTTGTTCAGGGAGTAACAGACACCAGCCCAGTCATATGGCACACATCTGACCAAGGACACAGTGCCCCCCACAGAGCATCAGAGGCTGTCAGAAAGTCTCTGGAATTTATGAAACAGAAAGAAAACTGTAGAGAGTATCCACAGCCTGGGCAGATGTATACATGGCATGCTCCGTGTGTCTACAGGGAATGAGTTCTCAGGAATGCCTGTCCCCCAATCCACCTCTCTGGCAAAGACTGCTGACAGGCTGCACATTTGCAGCTGGACTCACCACACTTTCAGAGCTGCTTTATGTTCCTTCTCCAAAACAATCTATGCTTTAACATTCTTCTAATGCCTACTGGACTCTCATACGTTCGAGAGAAGTAAAATTTCCTCCTGCCATGTTTTGCAACCCGTAGCATACATGTACAACACAGCACCTGCTCTCTGATTTATTTCACGGCTGTTCCCCAAGGCCCTGATTCAGACAGTGGCTCTTTTCAGCAGACATTTCTCCAGAGTATGGCTAAATCAACAAACTTGGAGACAAGCATTTAAATGCTTCACTAAATTGCAACAAAGCTCATCAGAGATTCTGGCATGGTCATGACTTTCATTGTACTCAGCTAGCTGGAAGGACAGGTTTTATTAACTCGTGTTTTCTCTCAGGGAAATGGAAAAAAAAAAAAAAAAAGCTCTATTTCAAAGTACTCTTACAGATTGACAACAATCACCTCTTCCTACCTGCTAGCCTGGGTAGTGTTCGGCAAATCTGCTATGTAAGCCAGAGAACATGAGGCTGGACCACCRCAGTGAATGACAGAATGAATATTGCATGGGTCTCATCTTCCAAGCTGGACCGATACCACTCAGAAAGGGGAAAGATTTTTATCTCTTTTGTTACGCAAGGCTACTGTAGACAGGATCCAAACCCCCTGATATCAAACACTCAGCAGTGTCTGACTTCAGTGCTTTGACTTTTTATCCCTATTACCCAGAGCACAAAGACCTACTCCTTTACAGTTAACAGCCTTCCCCTTTCTGTTAAGTGTTGATCTCTAGTTCCAGTATACCTCAGACCCAGCACTGCTGTCAGCTCCTTGGAGAAACAAGTGCAGAAGGCAAAATAAAAGAAATTGACTTCTGAATAAAGCAGAATGGTAGGCAAAATCCTAGGCACCTTCCTTGTTTTAACTACAATGTTGCTTCCTACAGCTCAAATTTGACCCTTAGA